GCACCCCCTGTTTGTCCCCTGCAGAGGAGGTGAAGGCCGAGAAGGAGCCCAAACCAGAGCCTCGTGCCAACGGGCGCCGCGACGACAAGGCCGAGAAGCCGCGCTTCATGTTCAACATCGCCGATGGGGGCTTCACGGGTGAGGGGGGGGGACAATGGGGACACTGAGGTGGGGCAGTGGGGGTGCAGAGGGGTGACACTGACCCCCATGTGTGTGTGTGTCCCCCCATAGAGCTGCACACGCTGTGGCAGAACGAGGAGCGAGCGGCCATCTCCTCGGGGAAGCTCAATGAGATCTGGCACCGGCGCCACGACTATTGGCTGCTGGCCGGCATCGTGCTGTATCCTTCCGGGGTCCCCTTGGGCACCCATGGGTGCTGCGCCCTTCCTCGTCCTCTGCCGCGTCTTGTCCCTGCTCTCTTCTTCTTCCTCGTCCTCTTCTGCTTCCTGTTGTTCCTCCTCTTCTTCCTCCTCTTCCCTCTTCCTTTTCCTCTTCCTTGTCCTCCTCCTCTTCCTCTTCCTCATCCTCTTCCTCTTCCTCCTCTTTCTCTTCCTCCTCCTTCTCCTCTTCCTCTTACCTCTTCCTTTTCCTTTTCTTCTTCCTCGTCATCTTCCTCCTCCTCTTCTCTTTTCCACTTCCTTCTCTTCCTCCCGTTCCTCTTCATCTTCTTCCTCCTCCTTTTCCTCCTCCTCCTCCTCTTCCCTCTTCTTTTTCCTCTTCCTCCTCTTCCTCCTCCTCTTCCCCCTTCTGCTTCCTCCTCCTGTTCCTCTTCTTCTTCCTCTTCCTCTTCCCTTTCCCTTTTCCTCTTCCTCTTCCTCCTCTTCCCTCTTTCTCTTCCTTCTTCTCCTCTTCCTCCTCCTCTTCCCTCTTCCTTTTCCTCTTCCTCCTCTTCCCTCTTCCTCTTCCTCCTCCTCTTCTACTTCCTCTTCCCTCTTCTTTTCCTTCTCTCCCTCTTCTGCTTCCTCTTCCCTCTTCCTTCTCCTGTTCCTCTTCATCTTCTTCCTCTTCCTTCTCCTCTTCCTCCACCTCTTCCTCTTCCCTCTTCTTTTTCCTTTTCCTCTTCCTCCTCTCCCTCTTCCCTCTTCTGCTTCTTCCTTTCCTCTTCCTTCTTCCTCTTACCTCTTCCGTTCCTCTTCCTCTTCTTTCTTTTCCTCTTCCTCTTACCTCTTCCTTTTCCTCTTCCTTCTCCTCTTCCTCTTCCTCTTCCTCCTCCTCTTCCTCTTCTTCTTTCTCTTCTTCCTCCTCCTTCTCCTCTTCCACTTCCTCTTCCCTCTTCTTTTCCTTCTCCTCTCCCTCTTCCTCCTCCTGTTCCTCTTCCTCTTCTTTCTCTTCCTCCCCCTCTTCCTCTTCCCTCTTCCTCCTCCTGCTCCTCATCTTCTTCCTCTTCCTCCTCCTCTTCCCTCTTCCTTTTCCTCTTCCTTCTCCTCTTCCTCTTCCCTCTTCCACATTCTCCTCCTCTTCCTCTTCTTCTTTCTCTTCTTCCACTTCCTCTTCCTCCTCCTCTTCCCTCTTCTTTTGCTTCTCCTCTCCCTCCTTTCCCTCTTCCCTCTTCTTCTTCCTTCTCTTCCCTCTTCCTTTTCCTCCTCCTCTTCCCTTCTCCTTTTCCTCCTCCTTCTCCTCTTCCACTTCCTCTTCCCTCTTCTTTTCCTTCTCCTCTCCCTCTTCTGCTTCCTCTTCCCTCTTCCCCCTCCTCCTCCTCCTCCCTGCTGGCCCGGGCAGCCCCAGGGTGGCTGACACCAAGGTAGGGCTGATGTGGGGACACTGGTGACTCGGTGCTGCTCTGACAGCGCCACGAGGCCGCTCCATAGCAACAGGGTGGTGGGGTGGGGACAGGGTGCCACGAGGACAGCGGTGCCACATGTGACAACACACGTGCTGCCACGCGTGGGGACACGTGAGGGTCCTTAGCGCTCAGCCACGGCTACGCGCGCTGGACCGACATCCAGAACGACGGCGCCTTCGGGGTCATCAACGAACCCTTCAAGGGCGAAGCCTCCAAAGGGAACTTCCTGGAGATGAAGAACAAGTTCCTGGCGCGGCGCTTCAAGGTGAGGCCACCAAGGGGGGGGTTGCACGAAGGGCACACGGGCACCGGGGTCGGGGGTGCTCTTGGGGATGGGCGAGCTCACGGTTGGGTGCTCTCGGTGGTGGGAACCACCAGAGCTGGGTGCGTGGGTGCTCTTAAGTGTTGGGTAAGGTCATAGTTGGGTGCTCTTGGTGATGGGAACCACCAGAGGTGGGTGCCTGGGTGTTCTTAAGTGATGGTTAAGGTCATAGTTGGGTGCTCTTGGTGATTGTTGAAGTCGTAGTTGGGTGCTCTTGGTGATGGGAACCACCAGAGGTGGGTGCCTGGGTGTTCTTAAGTGATGGTTAAGGTCATAGTTGGGTGCTCTTGGTCGTTGTTGAAGTCATAGTTGGGTGCTCTTGGTCATTGTTGAAGTCATAGTTGGGTGCTCATGGTGATGGGAACCACCAGATCTGGCTGCCTGGGTGTTCTTAAGTGATGGTTAAGGTCATAGTTGGGTGCTCTTGGTCGTTGTTGAAGTCATAGTTGGGTGCTCTTGGTGATGGGAACCGCCAGATCTGGCTGCCTGGGTGCTCTTAAGTGATGGTTAAGGTCAGAGTTGGGTGCTCTTGGTGCTGGGTAACAGCAGAGTTGGACTCTCTGGCTGATAGTAACGTCATAGTTGAGTGCTTGGATGCTCTTGGTGATGGGTGAGCTCACAGTTGGGTGCTCTTGGGGATGGTTAAGGTCAGAGCTGGGTACTCTGATAGTAATGTCATAGTTGGGTGCTTGGATGCTCTTAAGTGATGGCTAAGGTCACATTTGGGTGCTCTTGGTGATGGTCAAGGTCCTAATTGGGTGCTCCTGGTCATTACTGAGGTGATAGTTGGATGCTCTTGGTGATTGTTGAGGTCACAGTTGGGTGCTCTTGGTGCTGGGTAGCAGCAGAGTTGGATGCTCTGGGTGATAGCGGCATAGTTGGGTGTTTGGATGCCCTTGGTGATGGGTGAGCTCCGAGTTGGGTGCTCTTGGTGAAGGGAACCACCAGAGCTGGCTGCCTGGGTGCTGTTAAGTGATGGTTAAGGTCATAGTTGGGTGTTCTTGGTGATGGGTAACAGCAGAGTTGGATGCTCTAGGTGATAGTCATGTCATAGTTGGGTGCTTGGATGCTCTTGGTGATGGTTGAGGTCACAGTTGGGTGCTCTTGGTGATGGGAACCATCAGAGCTGGCTGCCTGGGTGCTCTTAAGTGATGGTTAAGGTCATAGTTGGGTGCTCTTGGTGATGGGAACCATCAGAGCTGGCTGCCTGGGTGCTCTTAAGTGATGGTTGAGGTCATAGTTGGGTGCTCTTGGTCTTTGTTGAAGTCACGGTTGGGTGCTCTTGGTGATGGGTAACAGCAGAGTTGGATGCTCTAGGTGATAGTCATGTCATAGTTGGGTGCTTGGATGCTCTTGGTGATGGTTGAGGTCACAGTTGGGTATTCTTGGTGATGGGTAACATCATAGTTGGGTGCTCTGGGTTCTCTGAGTGATGGATGATGTCAGAGTTGGGTGCTCTGGACAATGGGTAAGGTCATAGTTGGGTGCTTGGATGCTCTGGTGATGGTCAAGGTCATAGTTGGGTGCTTTTGGTGATGGGTAACACAGGAGTTGGATGCTTTGGCTGATAGTGAGGTTGTAGTTGGGTGCTTGGACACTCCTGGTGATGGGTACTGTCAGAGCTGGCTGCCTGGGTGCTCTTAAGTGATGGTTAAGGTCATAGTTGGGTGCTCTTGGTGATGGTTGGGGTCATAGTTGGGTGCTCTTGGTGATGGGTAACACCAGAGTTGAATACTCTGGCTGATAATGAGCTTATAGTTGGGTGCTTGGATGCTCTTGGTGTTAGTTGAGGTCACGGTTGGGTGCTCTTGGTGATGATTAAGGTCATAGTTGGCTGCTCTTGGTGATCATTGAGGTCACAGTCGGGTGCTCTTGGTGATGGTTAAGGTCATAGTTGGCTGCTCTTGGTCAATGTGAGGTCATAATTGGGTGCTCCCAGTGATTGCTGAGATCCTACTTGCGTGGGTAACACCGGAGTCAGACGCTCTGGCTGATAGTAACCTCCTAGTTGGGTGCTTGGATGCTCTTGGCGCTTGCGCTCAAAGCTGCCTCCTCTTCACCATGACCCACCGCCAGGTCCCCCCCACCCATTTGCGTCTCTCTGTCCCCTCTTCTCCTCCCCCCAGCTCCTGGAGCAAGCGCTGGTGATCGAGG